AACTGGGTTATAGACTGCATATCTTATAGCAAAGGTTGAACAAAATATATTGAGAACACCTTTATATGAGATACTATGGGGGGTTGCAACAGTCAGTTAAATATAACTTATTTTCACAGTTTAGATTCTGAGAAAAAAATAATTTAAACCAGTCCTTCACTTCTGGAATTTATCTTGGATAAAATAAAAGAGGAGAGACATCTATAAGATTTCAAATATGGAAAGCATCAAACTTTTTAGGATACAAGATCTGGTATATCAGGGGGTTCATGATTTCTTACTCAGAAATTAAGAGGAGACTACAAGGAAGGAATCCCCCACAGTTTCATTATTTTCAAATCCAATCTTGTTTGCAATGACATTTTAGATCATATGAACAAATACGAGTGAACCTAATTTGAAATGTAAAGAATGAAGAAATAAAAAACAGACATTAGCAAAAGTTCAGCTTGGAGCCTGAGCAAGTAAGAGTCTGCGTGGTTAAATAGGCTCAATAGTATAAGGGAAAGCAACCCAGTGGATATGTGGAAACATCTTCAGAAAACATTGCTCAAGTTTTCCCCTAAATATGGCGATTAAGAGAAAACTGCTAGCTCACAAGCGCATTATACCAGCCAGGAGACATAAAGTTAATAATAAATAAACTACGCTGCAATATGTTGGAAGTGTCAAAAAGAGACAGGCGATTCCCACCCACCCCAGTACGCGGCAGAAATGCAGTTTGGCAAAACTATTGGAGGAAAAAAGGAAATAATCTTAGCTTGAGTCTTTGAAATTCCGTAACATCAGGATTTCCCCAACTTCGTCTTAGACCATAATGCCAGTTCAGTAGAGCTGGTTTAAATCTCTTAAAATTCAAATGGGGATAGTTGTCTACCACGATTATAATTTTGAAGAATCAGCTACATGTGAAATACAGTCCTCTAGAGATGCTCGCTCTAGAGCAGGGGTGGGGAATCAGTGGCTCTCTTTTTTTGCATCGCAGGGGGTTGGACTACATGACCCTCGGGGTCCCTTCCAACTCTGCAATTCTATGATTCCACGTTGTTCTTCTACAACTCCCATTGCCCCTGACACTTGGCCATGATACCTAGAGTTGATGGGAGTCAACACCTGGAGAGCCACAGGTTCCTTAGCCTTGCTCTAAATATTCCTCACCTCCAGCTAGTTGTGCCTTGTCATATTTAAGGCCTCAGAGCAGCCAGGAAATAAGTTGCTTCTTAACAAATAAATCTTGATGCTTGTATTCCAAGGACCGTCAGCAACTTATAATGTTAACATTTGATAAAGCTCCTGGATGCGACTGACAAACATGCCCGTAGGTCAGTGTGCCTGAAAAAACAGATTGATGACATCCTGTAGATTTTTAAAATTATTATTCTGTAAAACATGGTTCTTTTGCCAGTTGTTTAAACAGCAACAGACTTTTTTCTTCGCGTGTTCACAATTTCCCATCAAAATCCGCAATGCTAACCTGAAGCTATAGCAGATACGATCGAATTCCATAGTCTTGGAAGAAGCTTCTGATAAGATTCTTCAGTAGCGGATGAAAATAGCCAGGAATTTCTTTTGAACATTGTTGTGGTTTCTTTGCATGGGGCTTATTAAAGGCTTGGCTTTTTTATGACTATACTGAGCGACAACCTGAAAGCTGGGGAGTAATGCAGTCCAGAATTTACCTAGATACTTAGCCAGTCTTTGTTGTTGTAATGTCCATGTGATGCTTTAAAGGCTGACTTTTAGAAGTCCTTGATTTATGTTCCTTATTAATCTGAAAAATATGTGTGGGGCATAAAATTTGTTTCACATTTTCTTCAGATGCAAATGAAATCCTTTCCTTCTGATCCAAGAAGTTTCACTACAAAGAAGCAGAGTGGTGACCTTATCTGATTCTGATCAAAGGGCAATTTTCTTTGTACTGAAGAGAAACAAAAATAATATTCATTAAGCCATTCTCTAATTGCAGCTGGATAGCAGTTGTTCTGAATTACCTAGTAATAATAATAAGAAAACTCTGGATCCCTTTGATGTAATGTTAATAGTCAGTGGTTGGCGATGTGCATTAAAGTCTCTTTATTGTTCACTGACATTTAGGTCACAATCAAGAGAGAGCCATGAACAAACCACACACTGGCTTCCATGAGCGAATGAGAATGCTCATCCCCATACACACCAGACCGACAGATGGGAAGGTTATCTTACCCCCATCCACACTGTCCAGTCCTGATAGGGATTACCTGCATCAGATGCACATCACAGCTATATGTACAGTGAGGGGGGAAGTATTTGATCCCCTGCTAAATTTGCCCGTTTGCCCTCCGACGAAGAAATGACCAGTCCATAATTTTAATGGTAGGTTTATTGTAGCCGCGAGAGACAGAATAACAGCAGGAAGACGCCAGGTCGCCTGACACCTGGCTGGTTGATAGGGGATCAAATACTTATTTCACTCATTATAATGCACATCAATTTCTGACTTTTGTCTTCTGGGTTTCTGGGGGTTTTTCCCTGTTGTTATTCTGTCTCTCACAGCTACAATAAACCTACCATTAAAATTATGGACTGGTCATTTATTCGTCGGAGGGCAAACGGGCAAATTTAGCAGGGGATCAAATACTTTCCCCCCCCCCTCACTGTAGCATTCTTGGAGAATCCATGAGTGGTCCCAGTTAGGATGCATATACAGTGGTACCTCAGGTTACATACACTTCAGGTTACAGACTCTGCTAACCCAGAAATATTACCTCGGGTTAAGAAATTTGCTTCAGGATGAGAACAGAAATCGTGCTCCAGCAGCGTGGCAGCAGCAGGGAGGCCCCATTAGCTGAAGTGTTGCTTCAGGTTAAGAACAGTTTCAGGTTAAGTACAGATCTCTGGAACAAATTAAGTACTTAACCTGAGGAACCACTGTACACATTCCACTTTCTGGAAGGGCAGCCAGCCGATGAGTCCGGAAGCACAGCATTCTGTAATGCGAGGGGCTCCTGATCCTTAAAACAGATCTGCAGGCCTGCCTTTGTGTGTAGATCTCACACTGAATGGGGATGTCACCTGTTAAGAGGGAGTTACAGCTATTGGCTGGAAAGTGACAAACAAGGCAATGACTGGTTGCATGTTGCTGTTGATTGTGTGTGGATGGTCTACATGGGCTCTCAAAAGAGGCCTGAACACACACACCCATCCACACACACCCAAGGAACTTGACAATGGCGTTCTAGTTTGTGGTAAAGTGGCCATGCAATGGGAACAGCTGTAAAAGCAACTGCCATTTCTCAATGGCCATATTGCTTTGTTATCACCAATTTTTCCTCCATCCATGTTATAATAAAAACGGCTTGCGATGAGCTCCAACTAGGTGAAAGGGAAATGAAATGGCAAATGCAATCCAATGTCATCAAGCATAAAGTTATGCACACCGGGACCAAAGAAAATCTAAAGTTCACATCTCGTGGGTCTCACCTGGTGGTTCAGAAATGAGACCTTGGAGTCATGGCAGATAATTTGAAGATGCTCAACCAGTGTGCATAACCTGTGAAAAAGACCACATCCATGCTATGGCTAATTAGGAAAGAGATAAAACTGCCAACATCCCGCTCTGTGATGCAAGTGTGCTTGGAGTACTGTGTACAACTCTGGCCTCCTTCCCTCAAGAAAGACATTGTGGCAGTGGGAAATGCTCAGAAAAAGTCAGATCAAGGGGATGGAGAACTCCCCTATGAGGAGAAGTTACAACATTTTTTTGGGAAGGGGTAGTTGAGAGAAAAAGTGAGCCTGAGGTGACATAATCAAGGTTTATAAAATTATGCATGCTGTGGAGAAAGGGAATAGGGTTACCTCTCTCACAACAAACGCTTTTGACATCAACTTCCTGAGGAGGTTTCGGTGAGACCCCAGGAAAATTTTGGAGGCTGATAAACGGCAGCCTGGCAAATATTTAGTCTTTCATCTAGTGGTGGCGCAGAAGGGTACATGGGAGGAGTACACTCTACTGTGGCCTGGTCTCCCTTCCCCAGGAAAGCATGGGCCCACAGAAGGCTGCGTTGTCTTTCTCCATCACTCTCACTCTCTGTCTCTCTCTCACACACACACTCACATATTGTTGTTGTTGTTTAGTCATGTCCGACTCTTCGTGACCCCATGGACCAGAGCACGCCAGGCACTCCTGTCTTCCACTGCCTCCCGCAGCTTGGTCAAACTCATGCTGGTAGCTTCAAGAACACTGTCCAACCATCTCCTCCCCTGTTGTCCCCTTCTCCTTGTGCCCTCCATCTTTCCCAACATCAGGGTCTTTTCCAGGGAGTCTTCTCTTCTCATGAGGTGGCCAAAGTATTGGAGCCTCAGCTTCAGGATCTATCCCTTCCAGTGAGCACTCAGAATGGATAGGCTTGATCTTCTTGCAGTCCATGGGACTCTCAAGAGTCTCACATATACAAAAAGGTAAAAGACCCATGGATGGTTAAGTCCAAACTTGATTATGGGTTGTGGCGCTCATCTCACCTTCAGGCCGAGGGAGCTGGCATTTGTCCACAGACAGCTTTCTGAGTCATGTGGCCAGCATGACTAAACTGCTTCTGGTGCATCGGGACACTGTGACGAGTGCCCGGGCACATGGAAACACCATTTACCTTTCCGCCGCAGCGGTACCTATTTATCTACTTGCACTGGTGTGCTTTCGAACTGCTAGGTTGGCAGGAGCTGGGACAGAACAATGGGAGCTCACCCCATTGCACGGATTCGAACTGCCAACCTTCCGATTGGCAAGCCCAAAAGGCTCAGTGGTTTAGACCACACATACAGCCCTGCCCCCTTCACATGCATCCATTCAGCACATCAGCTGAGGTTGCATTTTAATTGCATTTGCATCCATGTGCCCTCTGGGAGGGTTAGTTGAGGTTATCCAGAATGGCGACCTACTGTAATTTGGAGGCAGAAAGATGTTTTGTGCCTTTTCTCACTCAACCGAATTTTGCTAACTTTCCTTATCTTCTTTATTTCCTTAGCACTGGGACAAATTATGCTATACGTAGATGGGATGAATGGAGTAATCAATCATAATGAAACGATCCAGTGGCTGTACACTCTCATTGGGTCAAAGGTAAGAAGAATCCCATCTATTGAAGAGTTTTAAAGATTTTTCCGTGTGTGTGTAGACAGCTGTGATACACACACACACACAGAGAGAAAATGCCAATGACTGAAAAATTCCACTAGTTTGATACTTACCACAAGCAGAGGAGTACATGTTGAAAGGCAATGCTAATTCCATTTATAGTGGCACATTCCTCTCTCTTTTCAGCTTGTGAAAATAACCCATAGGGCAATGCTTGTGGAGTTAGCTTCCTACTGCAGAATGGCATCCAATGGGACTATGTGTTGTTGGTCTTGAAAGTGCTGCCTTGGCTACCGGTGAAGTTCCCAGGGGAAATGTTAGTAGTGGCATATGAAGCCGTGAATGGGACCCAAGTACCTATAAGAGTGCCTTCCTCAGTACCAGCCACCTCAGTCCCAATGATTGGCAGGCGAGACCTTTGGTGGTGGTGCCACCCTTGGGGGCTGCCCGCTTGGCATTGGCCCATGACGGGGCCTTCTTAGTGGCAGCTCCCTGGTTGTGAAATGCCCTCCTATCTCCCTCATTATTGGCTTTTGGGGGGAATTTAAAAACATTCCTGTTTGCCCAGGCTGTTCATGGCCCAAAAGCACTGTTCTTGGCAACCTTAAAATCACTGCTTGAGAGAATGTTTCAAAGGGTTTTTAGAATGTATGGATTTTAGGTGGGGTGGGGGTTCGCATATTTGGCTTTGTTGGGAGTTGTGGCGGAATAAATAAATAAACTACACGTGCTGCCTCAGTGCCAAACATACAAATCCCTTTGGTGAACAAAAGGATGGGTCTTGCTGTAGTTAAGGAGGCGTTAAAAAAAACACCACACATACAGCCTGTGAAGTATTGAGGGAAAATCTAATCAAGATGTTTTATAGACAAAAACAGATCTGTGCTGGTGGTGTGGTAAAACGGAGGGGACACTTATACACGTATGGTGGACCTGTGAAAAAATCAAAAGCTTCTGGAACATAGTATATGACGAGCATAAAAAAATGTTTAAGTATAACTTTATGAAAAATACAGAAGCTTTTCTACTAGGGATAACGGACACAGGTATAGCAAGAGAAGATCAGAAAATATTCCTCTATGCCACAGCAGCGGCAAGGATCCTAATTGCTAAAAACTGGGGAAAAGAAACTGTGCCAACAAAAAAGGAATGGCAAGACAAACTGTTAGAGTATATTGAACTGGCTAGATTAACAGAGATCACACTAGACAAGAGTTTCAAAAAGCATGGGGGAAATGCAGAGAATACTTTACAAAACAGGGCCCTAAAATACATACCTGGACTTCTTTTGATTAATGTCTGCAGGAGACTTTGTGAATATTTAAGTTATAATTAGAAAAATCTTAATACTTATTCATAAAGGAAACAGCTTATAAGAAGTAAATGAGACGAGATACAGGATAAAGGAAGTATTTTATTTGGTTGTTTGTATTGTTGTATGTTATTCTTATTGTATGTTATGTTCACGTTTAATGAGGGTGGATTTCTGTGTTGGGGGGTGGGGGGTTTATGTTATGTTGTAAATAAAATTTCCAATAAAAAAAAAACCACAAACACTCTTAATATATGCTGCCAATTGGAAGAAGTGCAGTAGTCTTGAATATTAACTCAGAGCAGACCTTTCTCCTTACTAAGAATCTTTCATATGCGCACAGACAAACACATATGGCGTAAAGTGAATAAAAGGAAGAGACATATCTCAGAGATGCCGGGAACAATTACTGTTTAGTATTATATACTTTTATTCTAATGCTTTATGCCCCCATCTGTCA